GAATATGAGCAGTTCATGCACGTATATTGTTTCGTCCATTCCTCGGGGAAGCGGCGAGAGGCAGTGAGGGCGGGACCAGCATCTTGGAAGGAATTCAAGACGGATGTTCCAAGCCGCGTTGCACTGTGGAGGCAAGCGATCGTTCGGGTGGAAACAATGAAGTCCAACTCGAAACCCGTTACAGTGGAGGTTTAACTAGGAGCAGGGAGGTCTCGATCTGTCATTTTTTGTCTGCTGATGTACACTTTTGAGGGGGGGAGGGGGGGTTCTCAAAAGCGTATGGTTTGTACGCTCGTGATAATGATGAAAATTATGGACGGCCCCTTAGTTTTTCGAGGTCTAAATTTTCCTCTTTAGCCTTCATCGGCTTTTGTTTCTTTAATTTGATCTTGACTGTCGCAACGACTGGGTTATGGTCGCTGTCGCAATCCTCGCAAAACGGAAGTCCCTTTAACTTAACATACAACACCCTATCTGATATTACGCAGTATCCGAGCAGACTCCCGACTACAGTTTTATTCAGCAACACCGTTACTCCCTTTTCACTCTCTCCTCCGGAAAATATGATAGTGCTATCACCTCTACGTCTTTTTCCCGCACCCTGTCATCTGACTCCCGATAAACCCAATACGCTAATCTTCATTCTTTTTCATTTCCTTTCCCACGTTGTTCGTTTGTTTTCCATTTTGTAACAAGGTTCTAGCATTCCAAATCCCGATCCGGTAAGCATTTTGAAGAGACTTTGTTTTAATTCTGCAGTCGCGGGATGACGGTCTAGCTCCACCTGCAGTTCATGAGTCTCAACCGAGCGAGATGTTCTTATATAGAACATTCCCATTGACGCTGTTGGCTCTAATATCCTTGTTTGTTCTGTCCATGCTTAATACTAGGGTCTATAATGAAGTGGGTACCCTTCGGTTTCCTCTATTCCGTCTTCAGCTGCAGTGACTAAACTAGCCTTATAATCCTGGCCAGTGATCTGTATGAGATTCCTCTGCCCAGCGTTGTTTTTTGGCCAACCATGAATTTCTACTCTAAAATTTGATCTGCAGTTCATCAGTTTTTACGGATTGATATCAGAAGACGAAATGGCAAGACGAAGAAGAAGAAGAAAATTAAAAAGAAAGATAAACAGAAGAAAAGAAAGAGAAAAAAAGGAAGAGGCGATAAAAAAAAATAACGGAATCAAGAAAAAAGACACCAGTATCTCTCCCTCTCTCTCTCTCTCACTCACTCTCTTATCTCTCCCTTATCTCTCTCTCTCTCTCTCTCTCTCCTTCCATCCCTCCCTCGCTCCCTCTCTCTCTCTCTCTCTCTCTCTCTCTCTCTCTCTCTCTCTCTCTCTCTCTCTCTCTTTCTTTCTCTCTCTCTATCCCCCCCCCTCTCTCTCTCGCTTTCTATCTATCTATCTTTTTTTAACCTTTATTCATAATAAAGGTTAAAATATATACATATAGGTTGAAACCAGTTTATTTAAACGAAAAACATTCAGGTTTCTTTTTGCGGGTTAACAGTTACGTATCTAAAGGAGCTTATTTGAAAACCCAATTTATTATTTTTTTTATATAAACAATAAACGTTAATTTATTAGGCTAACACAGACTTTAAAACTCATTTAATCCATAATAAGGTTATATACAATGTTTTCTTATGTGAGGGTGTAGGAGGTTAAGTGGTGATGGCTGGCCCGAACGCCATCAGTGAGCCGCTGCCTTCACTTGTTGCGTTGTCATTTCGGCGACATCAATGGTGGATGTGAATGCATTCCACAGACGTGCAGCTCTGGCAGAGAAGGTGCGCTGATTCTGGCTAGATCGCGACCTCGGAACTTCCACCAGGAGCCGATTAGAATGTACCGTCCTCGTACTTCTCTCTCGGCCGCGGGGTGGGAGACGGAGGCTGCTTAGATGAGGCACCTGCTGCACCTGAGCCTTGTGGAGCACCGTTAAAGCCCCGACGTCACGACGATGTTCCAGCGCGTCGATGTGGGGAAGATTGGTGGCTTCCTGGATAAGCCTGAGAGCCCGTTTTTCTATTTTATCCAGCTTGTTGAGGCTGGTGGCCGCAGTAGACGACCAGGCCAACGAGGCATATTCTAGGTGTGGTCTGCTCTGGGACTTGTGTAGCGTGAGAATTCCCTGAGGATTCAGGAGGTGAGATATGCGTCGAATGGCTGCCACCTTCAAAGAAGCTGTTTTGCAGATCCTGCTGACGTGTCTGTTAAATCTTAGACCACTGTCTATGTCTATACCGAGGACTGAGGTCAAGTTCTCAAGTGGAAGGGCGGTGTTGTTCATTAAGATTGTCTTTCATGACGCCTGATGCAGCTGGAGAGCGGGATATAACCATTGCCTGGGTCTTGTTGGGGGCAAATCTTACTTGCCATTGTGATCCTCATTCGTAGATTGCTTGCAGCTTTGAATTCATATTCGTTGCTACAGCGTCATGATCCTCACGTTGGTATGAATGTTGAGGGCCATGTGAGTCAATTCACCATTATTGGTCCGGAAGCCAGGCCTCTGACATTAGCAGACAGAACTGAGAGATGTATCTACTTATTTTGAGGGGTTGTAATCAGTGACGCCATTTAGTATACTGGCCCTTGGTGGTTGTTGAAGTTGGGATGTGACCAAGAAGGAACAGCGAGTTGGTGAGCGGTCCAGTGTGGGGGTGAAAAGAAGTAATGCTGCTGAAGGGAGGAGATGGAAGTAGAGGTTGAAGGGGTTTGACAGCTTCGACATTCTAACATGAAGTTTCTCAGCTCTCTTTCGAGCAATTCGACCTTATCTGCCGAAGCCTTACATCTGTAGCTGTTCAGGGTGTGGCCTCTAGCCTTGCAAAAGTCGCAGGGGGCCTTGCTACGGCAGTCCCGCCGTTTGCAGCGTGAGCACACGGGAGGCTCTGGTCTCTTCTGCTGCGCTCTCCTTCCTCCCTGAATCTGCTGACGAGTCTCTCGTCCCGTCTCTGATCTACTGGGAGGCGGAGGAAACTGAGCTCTTTGAGCAGGATTCTTTTTACCGATGGTACCGATGATGGCAAGATCCCACCAATCTTGAAGTGCTGGATCTTGCTGAGTTTGTGTGGAAAACTCAGCGGAGATCCTGCCAGGCTTTGCAGTTACAGCTTTAGATTTCACTGACGCAGAGCAGTCTGCAATAAGCTCCTTGGCAGAAAGGATGGCTGCAGGAAGATCAGCCAGAGAAAGGCTGCCGTCCACGAATACCAAGAGCTGCTTGACTAACTTTGATATAGTAGCCTGCTGTGACTGGATTATCGTTATATAATCCTCTTGTTTAGTCAATTCCTATTCAGGAGAGAGAGTGGTTTGATCTGTGTGAACGTCCTCCTCATCGGTGGCTATCACACTCTGAGTGATCCCTTGCAGCTCCCTTAGATGCTGCGTCTGCGAGCAGTGGAAGGACTGCGAGGGATTCACGCAACTTGGGTGGCAGATGTTGGGACACTCGGGAGAGCACGATACTATTTCGCTCTTTTTGGTGGATTTTCCACACCACACGCAGCAGAAATTGGGCGGCGTGTGTCCTCCGATGCCTTCGATCCGCTTAATTTTCTTGTGGGCGTTGGTGCTGGAGGTCCCGGATGTCATCGTAATCGTGGCGGAGAGTTATTCTGGAGTATGGGGGGCGGGCGGTGTTAGTTCACCCAGGGTACTGTCCCTGCGGATTCCCCGAGAGCTGTATCAAACACTAGTTAGAGAGGGGGTAGTGGAGAAAAGGTTAAGAAAAGAGAAAAGAAAATTATGACTCGAGTCATAAGATATATGAAGAGAAAAGGCGTAGCACGGAGATGGTGGAGTCGCTTGGGGAGAGGAGGGTGGTAGTGGTGGAGGTCTGAAGTGGCAGTCTGCTCGTCAAACAAGCGCTTGACAGGTAGTTTGCCAGGTCACCACGGCTGAAGGTTAACATGGTCAGGAATATCGAAATAACGGTTATCAGTGAGAGAAGATTATACAAAATCCTCTTATGTTTTCTGTTGCGTGTTTTAAGTATTCAGAACACCTTCCATAGGTATTCATACAAATGTTTGACAAGCAACACTCTCTCTCATTCTCTCTCTCTCTCTCTCTCTCTCTCTCTCTCTCTCTCTCTCTCTCTCTCTCTCCTCTCCTCCCTCCTCTCCCTCCCTCCCTCTCCCTCCCTCCTCTCTCTCTCTCCCTCCCTCCAACCCTCCCTCACTCCCTCCTTCCCTCCCCCCTCTCTCTCTCTCACTCACTTTTTTCTTTTTATGTTATATATACACTTTTTTGTTTTTGCTACTTTCGCAATATTCTGAATAAAAATGTATAATATATCCAATGGGTATGGGAATAAAGAATCAAAATGAAAAAGAAATATATTCTTTGGGATGTGTGTGTCTGTGTGTGTGCGTGCGTGCGTGCGCATATGAGTGTGTGTGCAAGAG